AGGATTGCCAATTATTGAGCCGTTTCCGAGATTCTAATTCCGATTCCGAGATTCATTCCGAGATATATATATATATATATATATATATATATATATATATATATATATATATAATTATAAATATAATTTGAATCTCGGAAACGGCTCCAACGATTTTCATGAAATTTAGTATACATGGGGTTTCGGGTGCGATAAATCGATCTAGATTAGTCTTATATCTAGGAAAACTCGAGTTTTTTTTGCATTTTCACAATTTTTGCATGCGATTTTCTTTTGCATTTTCACAATTTTTGCATTGTCAGTTGTCAGTTGTCACTTCTGGTGGGTGGGAGGCGCCACTGTTCAACTGTCTACACTACATCGTGTCCGTATTTATATCAAGTTTAAAAATATTATAGTGGAAATAATCTTAAGAAAAGTGTTACAAATTAATCGATAAAATCTATGGGCAATATGTAAACATCACCAAGTCTTGATGTGTTGAAGAACAACTGAGCTTTTAAAAATTCAAAACCAAACAAATACAAAAGTGACAAACATAACATATAGATACTATCAGTGCAAAACCATCTTTTCTGTGTGTGATGACAATAAAACAAAATAAGTTTGTGAAGTGAAAGCGTAAAATATTATCGGTATAAAATTGCAATTCAACTAGGTATAATAGGTGTTCATTTTCAATCAGCTTTTCTACTTCCAACTTCACACTTAAAATGGAGGACATAAAAAAGTGGTTAATAAACAAGAAATAAGACAGCAGAAAACAGAAATGTTAGAAATGAAAGAAGGCATTAAAAGTACAATCAACAATAATATACTACTTAAATAAACAACATACAAAGAAAACCAAACCTGCTAATATTAAAACTTTATAGGCATATCAGAAACAAATTTTATATTGGAAACAAAATTTGAAAAGAAACCCTTTACAATCATACAAGCATAATCTTCAACGGAGAGGTCTATGCAGGATTACTTTGGAGGAGGCTTTTACCTGAGAGGGGTCTATACATGAAACCTAATAGGAAATTCACAAAAGTCATTTACTAAATAAATACATTTAATTATAAAATTAAATACCTAATTCATAACTATTGTCAGAATTAATGTATGGAAATAAATTTTATTTATATTTATTATTGTGAAATGTTTAGTATTTACTCAACTGAATTATTTTATTTATTGTAATTGTTTATCTATTTTTTTTGTTTGTTAATGATAATTTATATATTATATTAATCAATTAAGTAATTGCTCATAAGCTAACAACAAGTTGAATGTAACTAAATAGGTTATCACAACATACAATATGATTTAAAATAATATTAAAGATTTTTAAAATAATTTAATTCGAGATTACAAAATTATTAGTTAAAAAATGATAAGTTAATAAATAGCCACTAACCAAAAGTTGAAGTTAAATTAAATATAATCAAATAAGTTATAAATATGATCTGTAAAAGTACAATGTTAAAAATGATTAATTAAGTAAGAGTAATTATAAAATTAATTAAAATTATAAGTAAGCATTTATAGAATACTCGTAAATAAAGCTTTATTATTATTTCTTTTATATTATTCCACGCAAAATATTATGTTCGATAATTTCGTACGCTCGGATATAAGCATCGTGTTCAAGCGACCAAGGCGCAAGATCAACAATCTCAGGTGTCCATGTTCGAATCTCGGTAGCGTACAAAGTTTTACTTTTATTTTATTTTTAATATTTATTCAAGTTTTTAGTTTTTTTTTAAACAAAAAGACGCAAGATTGACAATCATAGGTGTCCGTCTCTAATTCGTCCATGGTGTCCGGGTTCGAATCCCGGTCGGATACAAAGGTATAATTTTTTTTGTATTTATTCATGTTTTTTGGTTTTTTTTTAAAGAAAATTGTACTTTTTAACCAAAAACTCCGTGCGAAGCTCGGTGGCCCAGGTACTGTTATTTTATAAGCCCATTGGGTAAGTTGTAGAAACGCATTTGTTTGACAATAATTATTTTATATATATATATATATATATATATATATATATATATATATATATATATATATAATAAATATTTTAAGGGGTTTTTCTTTACGCTTACTTACAGGAAGAGTTAATGTGTAAATCAATATTCAACAATTGGTTTAGATCGGATAAATATCAACATACATATATTCGTTTTTCTAATACTTATATACGAGTATATTAAACTTGTATAATTTAAGCGACTACACGTAGGGAACAGTCTTTGCGAGGGACGGTTGCGTGTCGTTCGGAGAGGGACAATCACCCTCTTCTCCCTCCTTATTTTTACTTCCGACTACCTCTTCCTATCCATTTTTTCCACATAAAATAAATAACGCTATATAGTTGTTTTTGATGGATGAAAAATTTTGCAACTGAAATATTTCAATTTTATTTTGCCTGGAATACATGACTGCCTACGCAGAAATACAATTTTAACGAATATTGAAGAGTATCTATATTAGTAATTGGATATGCACTATAATATGGATATACGTATAGAAACTTATTACAGGTATGTTACACTTACCTGACATTATAACGACATTAAAAAATGGCATCAAATAAAAAAATAATAGTTCTTTTCAACTGGAAATGAAGCTGTCATGGCGTGAATAAATAAATTATGAATGGGTTTTGACGAGACTGAACTTTATTATCGCTCCTAAGTATGATACCATGCGATATGACAGATATTTAATAATTTGATGTTAAATTAACTTTTTTCCAACACAATTTTAAATTTATATTTCTTTTGGTGCGTTGAGAAAAAAAATAATGAGAGTGATTTTTTTAGAAGTTAATCATTATTGGCTCCAAATTAAATCTCCCTTTAGTATAGTGGAAGTCATGTCTATATTCAGATATTCTTCCCGGTATTTCTATATACAATAAACGTGTTTTATATCTATACAAATAAAAATTATTACAAGCTTTTATTTAGTTTCACCTGTCCCGGTGTCTATTTGTAATCAAATTTTGCAAGTTAAATGTGCTAAAGGAGAATGTGCTAAATATTGTAATAGTGCATTGCATATGGATTAGGCCTTCTGGGATAGGATACTACGATAAAAAACGCGCAGTTTAGTCTACCCCAAAGTGACGTGGAAATGAGTTTTTTAGCTAAAACGCATGTTGAAGTACACTTTGCCCTTTACACTTTGTTGAGATATGTACGCCAAAACTATTGATTTTACAAAAAAAAATGTTATTCCATAAATTGTAGGTTTTTTTTTTAGTTTAAGTTTGTATATGACTGCTTTCACCGAAAAAATTGTCGGAATATCTCCAATATTGTCAATAAATCCGGACAAGTGCGAGTCGGACTCGTCCACCTAGGGTTCTGTATAAATTTGTAGGAAATTTGCTAACTTTAATTTTCAACGTTTTTTGGAATTTTTCCTTTATTTGTGCTGGAGACCTTGCTTTTTGCCAAATTTCGTGATTCGAGGTCAACGGGAACTACATATATAGGTTTTGGACCCAAAACCAATATGGTACTTCCAGTTGACCTAGAATTGCCAATTTCGGTTAAAAGAAAGTTCATACAGCACAAGTAAAGTGAAAATTTCGGAAAATAAAAAAGTTGAAAATTAAGGTAAATTTTGGTACTTACAAGTTTTTGCGAAAATCTAAATTTGCCCATATCTTGTTATCGTGTTGATGCAGGGCTTTGATTTTTATACACCTAATAGGGACGATAGACCTCATATCTGGAATAAATTTCAACTTGATAGGTCCACCCGTTCTGAGAAAATCGGTGGTGACACACGAACAGACAGACAGACAAGCGAGTGATCTTATAAGGGTTCCTTTTTTACCTTTTGAGGTACGGAACCCTAAAAACGGCTCATTTTCCAATATAGCCGCGCTGGCGGGAAAGATACTAGGTGGCGAAATTGAAATTCGGAAAGAGCACATCGAAATCTATAAAATTTATAAAAAATTCCAGGTAAAACTACCAAATGACTGAGAGTTAAGCTTTTAACTTGATAAATCATAAATGATTTACATTCTGTGAAAGTTTCATGGAAAAGAAGTCACAGAAAATTCGCAGTATTTCATAGAAATACATTTTGTATATTTGTATATCGAATCAAATTAATTCTTAAAAAAGATTCGTTGAAAAATATTCCGTCCGAACTTAATTGCATCGACATATATCACATAGACAAGTCTTAATTGTAATGTCTTAAATGATATAAATTCCAAATAAAAAACAATTAATATACTGAAAAATCTCACAATCAGTTTTGGCCGCACTTGCCTTATGCTTTTATTAATCGTTACATACATTATAAAATTAAATTTACATACTTTTTAGTTATGGTATTCTACCCGATTTTTATATATTGTTGAGTGTTATTTCAATTCTATAGTAGTTATAAACACTTCAAATACGTATTTTTTTTATGTAAAATGGAAACTATTAATATGACGAAAATACTTTATTTTCTAATTACCTACCATGTGTTTATTAAAAGTATCAAACGCGTAAAGCTATCGTCAATGAAATAAACGCAGAAAATATAATCAGAATTTCAGATGGTGTGTCCATTTGGGGATATAGCAAATTATCCCAATAGGCCACGCGACGCGTTATAATACGATCAACTAATGCAAATCATAAATGCTCGATCTATGTTTTCCAAACAATGTTTCTGATTCCTAACAAAAATTTCATTTTCAAAATCGTTATGATATTATTTTTGCATTTTTCAAAATCGGTCCGGTAAAGATGTTTCTAAAAAAAATCTTGTAACATTTTTCTATCTCCCCATATACGACCACTTGAAAAATTCACCTGTAAGTTTACATTCATAATTTTATGTCGTAGATTAAATAGATCCGAAGTAAGATATAGGCCAATTTTAATAACAAAACTTACCAAAAGGTGGCGCTGCCTATATATGATATAGAAGTTAGGGCCCACCCGAGCGAAGTAAGGGTAAGTCGCTAGTAAATAAACAAATAAAATAACACTTACTTGTTTTTATTCCCACTGCTAGCTGATCTCTGTAGTTTCTTCGGTCGGTTTTCCTTGTCTAGGGTAGCTCTTTGTTCGTCCATACGATTCGACTGGCACCTCACTAGCAGTTCCATGAAGGTTTCTGTAGGGTTTTCTCCTTCCTCTGATTCCGCCCGAACTATGCCACGCTCTTTATCTTCTTCTTTCTTTTTTCCATCAGGAGTTATCTGGTTTTGTTGTAATTTTAATATATATATATATATATATATATATATATATATATATATATATATATATATATATATATATTATGTAATGAGTTAGGTTAGGGGCCATTTATTAATTACATAAGAATCCTGAGAGGGAGAGGGTTTCTCATCTTTAGAATGCTCTTATCTCAGGAGGAGATTTAAAAGCCATCTTTTCGTAATATTTTACATTCTAGCATAGAGTGATGGATATTTGAGAGCTAAGCGTTGGAACGCAACTCTGAGAACTTCTTTTTTAATGTACAATTTCATTTATACATATTTTTATGTTTAAATTATTTATTGTTCATTAAGTTTTCAAAATCTTTATTGTATTTATTTTTACACATTTTGGAGCTATAAGCTCCAATATAAAATATACTAAGTTCTATTCGTATATTAATCTTACTTTAATAATTTACAAAAAAAATGTAAAAAAATACGCGGCAGAGATGTGCTGTGCCGTACGTGGGGAAGATGCAGAGTGGCTAGATGAAGTTAAGGAGATAACAGACGTGCCAGATATAATCGTTATCGAAATCTAATAATAATAATACAATTGTATAACCTAAATTATCTTTGAAAAAATAAAAATCTTTGATTTACGTCAAATTATGAATTTTAGTGCAATTGATCATTTCCTAAAACTAGATAAAATTTTACGTAAAACGGGGGAGGGGGAGCTCGAGAAATCTTATGTGCTCTTTCTTACATGGGCGTAGGGAAGGGAGGGGAAGGGGCGGGGTAGGTCCAAAATAGCCCAAATTCTCCTTACGTAATTAATGAATAGGCCCTTATTGTAGTACGGGTTTGGTTTCCAACTTAATAGAATGTAGTGTATTACTGAGTTACAAATGCCTTTCAGATAAAGTTAAACACAAAGACAGTTATTTTAACTAGGAAATTTAACTAGTTTTAGTTTAATACGTTATTGAAATCTCTAATTCAATAAAACTGTAACAGAAGTGACACTGACACTTATTTTTTATTTATTTGTCAGTTTGACACCACTCAAAAACTGCTGGCCCGATTTTGATAAAACTTTTTATGTTTAAAATCTTATAACCAAAGATAAGAACTGATGTATAATATTTAGCCTTGTTTTGACAACGAAAGCGGGTTGATAAAACCATTCTCGAGGAACTATCTAACCGGGTCTTCTTTCTACCTATAGAATAGAAATTTCCACTTGTGTTCTTCTGTAATTACGTAAGTGCGCACCAAGGCAGCGAAACGTAATTACGAAATAATTGCGTTCGTTTAATCACTTGTTGTATTGTTATTACTAAAACTTTAATTATGCAATTAATATATAGGATACTAGCATTGCCCGCGGCTCCGCCCGCGTTTAGATGACCAAAAACCATTTTTTTAGGTTTTACATATTAGTATACTCTTACGTTGCAGTTTATGTACTTTTTCTTAGAAATTAGATATTTTCCCGCGGTAAAAAGTATCCTATATGTTGACCCGGATAACCAGCTATCACCATGCCAAATTTCATCAAAACCACCCCAGTGGTTTTTCTGTGATGCGGTAACAGACAGACAGACAGACAAAAACTCTAAAAACTATAGATTCGGCCTCTGTATCGATAATAATAATGTCTATTTCAGTAAGATTTTCCAAAAAAATATTTAATGTATAGATTCGGCTTAGTTACAATTTTATTATATGTTTAGATTTAAGGATTTATTCTATATTTCCATTGAATTTATATGTTGTCATATGTATCAAATTTGTAATATTATGTATACATTTATGTTATCAAAACCCTAAAAAGTAAGAAATAACTGGAAATTAGTGTTCATTTACTATAGATAACTAAGCAGACATTTTTGAAGTTGGCGTCATCAGATACAAATCAAAACAAAGCTTACATAACATATTGATATATAATATTTTAAACTATATACATATAGTTAAAGTTCATATTTACCTACAAGATATTCATATTTTAAAGCATTATCGTCTGGATTTTGACCGGAGGAAAAAAATCCTTAAACCTTTTTGATGTAAAATTTTAAGCTCTACATATTTTTATTAAAACTTTTTTGTCTAACTTGTACCGTTTTCGAGTAATTGCGAAAAAATACTTTTGACTATTTTTTTTGAACCCTTGCCGGGGGTTGCGGGCACTACAACTTTTACACATTGTTTTTGTATCATTAAAACTACATTATATCAAAAATGCAAAGTTAAGTGCCAACATTTTGATTTCAGACCTTATGGACTAATTGTTTTCTTTTAAAGCATTTTTTATAGTATTACTCAAAGTTTTAATGTAACTTTCTAAATTTTGTTTTGACGTTGCAACTTTTTTGTATATATATATATATATATATATATATATATATATATATATATATATATTTAAAGTATATAATATAATTCTAAAAACATTATTATAAACATATTTATATATAACTAGCTATTCACCCTCGCTTCGCTCGGGGTCGTACTTGGGTTGATTCTCCATACAACCTTTCTACCCGATTTCCGGGTTAAAAAGTATCCTATGTCCTTTCCAGGGTCTCAAACTATCTTCTTACCAAATTTCATCTAAATCGCTTCAGTAGATCCAAAGATTACCCCCTACAACCTCACAAACTTTAACTCTATATGTATACTTCGTTTGCCCTAAAACTACAGAAAAAAACTACTAAAAGTAGCGAGTGTCACTCTCCAGGCTTTCAATTATCGCCAGAGTAAAAATCACGCAAATCCGATACTCTGTTTCAACGTAGAAGAAACAAACAAACAAACACACTTTCACATATATAATATTAGTATGGATTATTAGTTAAATTCTTCATAACAAATAATAAAATTCTAACTGTCTATCTATTTGTTCGCTTAGTTCTACTAAACTATGCACTGGTTTAAATATAGTTTCCGCTATTTTTACAGTTTTTTTAGAAGATTTATATGTATTTTCATTTGTACTATATGAAAAATTCATATTTTGCAATCAATTCGTCAAACGAAGTATGAGTCGGGTATCTATATTATTAAAATATTAATGTCTTTAAGCTACACGTGGAACTCCAACACATGGAGCATACATAATATTTCGCAGGGTTATAGGGTAAAAGCCATATTATAATTGCATGGATTTTTGTATATCACCATATCCATTTTTTACAATATCACGGGAAAGATTAGTAGATAAGAAATTCTGAGTGAGATTTGGCACAGAGATAGGTTTTAGTCTGGAATAGCACAAAAGTTACTTTTTATCCCGGAAAAATTTACGGTTCTGTTGAGATATCCATATTAACCGCTAAAACTTACTCACCGAACCCGAGCGAGACAAGGGTGAGTCGCTAGTATACTATAATATTATAAAGAGGTAATACTATAATATTATAAAGAGGTAAAGTTTGTGAGTTTATGAGTTTTGAACGTTGTAGGGGGTAATCTCTGGATCTACGAACCGATTTAGATGAAATTTGGTAAGAAGATAGGTTGGGACCCTGGCAAGGACACTGATAATTTTTATCCCGGAAATCATCCCTTAAGGGGGTGAAAGTGGGGATGAAAGATTGTATGGGGAATCAACCAATCAATCAATCGCTAGTGAGTAATAATTCTCGAATACATTACCTGTATAAGAGACAACTGTTCCATACTCTGTCTTCTCACACGGAGAGCGTTGAAGGGCGTCCGGGGGGCAGGGATCGGGTCTTGGGGGGGCGAAGGCGCCGCGTCCACGGGGAGCCCTAGCACTTTGCATAGGTCCCCAATATTCATTTGCGCTGTCGCCATACCCAGCACATCGCCGAGCTGTTCAAAAAGGAAATTATTTTAATTAATACTTTCTTAGATTTACGCGAATACTGGACATTTGAAATAAACCTCATTTTTGATATTTTACTTTATTTTTTTGTTTCTTGGAGTATCTCGAGATTCTCTAGTCCCCATAGTGCTATGGCCACGTTTCCTGTACACGTTTATTACCACATTTTGTAAAAAGCTGAAGCTAAATTTTTGCATTTAAAATAAATATTATAAACCTCCATGATAATAATTAGATTCTTAGATTTGAATAGGACGAGCTACAGAATTTGGGTTTCTTTGGGATTTTTATGTTCATATTACGATATGTTTTCGTCGATAATTATTATGAACCGATTTTCATGATTTTTTTGATGAATAGGATATTCATACAAACATACATATATATATATATAGGATGCCACTATAGTACCATCCCGTGAAAAGTTAGTTTATTCAAACCCTAAAAAATCTTGTTATATAAAAGTACGTATGAGAGTCTGGAGCGCTTCCCTGTAGACGCCTTTGTTACAAGTGTGTATGAATTAGTAAACTGTGGCAAAACCTTAGATTTTAGGATCATTCGATTCTTGTTGACGAGTCCCATAAATAAATTTGTTCAAAACGTTTAGTTCGATAATTTTAAAATTATATATGTAGAACAAAGATATATACTCACTTCCTTAGAAATATTATAATGTTCCTTCGCGTAATATAATGCCTTTTCATGATTCCCTAGGGCAGCGTGGGCGTTGCCTAGGGACCAACATGCCCTACCCTCCCCAACCCTATCCTGAAGTTTCCTTGCTGCAGATAGATGTCTTGCGTGATACTCCTCTGCAATACGATATTCCCTGAGGAGAGTATACGTATTCCCTAGGGAATAGCAGGCTTGGGCCTCGACTGCTGCATCTCCCAACTCCTCAGCTAGGGCTAGGGTGCGTCTGTATGAGTAATGGTTGAGCATAAGTTTCCCTATTTGATAATATGTGGTATGATTTGTACATAAGTTTAAGATTTTAACTGATATTATACTGATATTCGCAAAGGTAATAATAAATTCATATATAGTATTAATAGGTGGCTATTGGTTATTTTATCTTAATTTAGTTTTGTATTTAAATTTTGTAGTCAAGGTGTATTTAAATACCTAGTTTTAATTCTATAATTCCCAATGTATCGATAAAAAGACTTTATTAATTAACAAGGATTAATAGATGTAACTGTATGCTCTAGAGGTAGGGTAGCATTTTTTGATAAGAAATTTTTGTACAAGTTGGAGAGAAATATTTATATGACATTAATCACAAAAGAGAAAATTCAAATCGCTCGTAAGTAGTTCATATTTTCCTATAAAGTTTAAAATTGCATAATTTAAAATTAAAAGAGCAAACGCTGAAATTTCAAACTTATTGCGAATTACAACAGAATTGAAGGTGTGTAGTTATAATAAAATTCAAACGTCTGTAAGTTGGAACAAAATATGATTTCATAAGCTATGTTAAGCCACAGATCATTTAATACTATACTAGTACATATGCCTCATGTCATAGAAGGAAATTGGACAGCGCTAATTCGGGCTATTTTTGTTCGCTTGAATAGATAAAAGATGTCGTTAATTCGCAAATAGTTAAACTGTTCTATTTTATAAATATGAGCAAATTACTGCATGGTAAATATTGTAAAATTAATCTAAAAAAACTGTGATTTTGACTTAAATAAATTTTTAGACGACGTATGTAATGGCAGCGATAATAAAAAAATAAATGATACATACTCGTACATATGTTATATTTATAGTCTTAAATTAATCTTTATCAAACCCACAAACATAATAATATACGTACATTTTATAAGCAACAGAGCGTCAAAAGTGTAAAGATTTTGAATTCCCTGTGCCACAAAAGTAAATATGCTAGATCTTCGTTTTCGCAAAGCAATAGTGTATTACATTAAAAGATGTTTCATCACTTTTATATATATATATATATATATATATATATATATATATATATATATATATATTCCTGTTATTTTACATGCGACTTATTTTAAGATGGGTATAAATTCTATTTCTTAAATAGAGCTTAAGCATTATCATATTTTGTAGTAGCAAGAAACTTATTTTAATATTAATTTCTAATCGCTGGGCATTTTATAAAAAAATCTTATTATAATATTACCTTAATATAATAATTGCAATTGCAGCTTATTAAGCATAGATTAAAATAAAAGAAGACACTCTGCTTGTGTACGGGATATCATATTTAGGTTATGTGATTCGACACACACATACGAAATTGAATTGAATTAAATATAATGAATATACACATAATGTCTCCATCTCACACAAAATTATTCAATTCAATTACGTTTTTCAATTCTGTTCATGCACAAAAGACAGACTAAAAAAGACACTTTCACATTTATAATATTACTATTATAGATGGAAGAATTAATCATTTTTTATTACTTCCACAATGTAACACATTACAATTTACATATAGTAAATATAATGTTTTCATTGAATTTTTCTGAGCATAAGATCATATTGGTTTAAAATAGTTGCCTGAAACCACTAGGAACGTAAGTTCGATTCCCGTAAGTGAAAATTACCTTTAACCTCATCTATAAGCAAAGTTCAAGTTTGATTTTATACAAATACGTCTTTATAATAGTGCTGAAGAACTGTTTCAGAAATATGCGTGTAAAAGTGTAAGAAACCGCATTTCAATAATTAAAATCATTTAACATTGGTCAATTTAACACACATGATATTATAATCACACGGGTGCAGTTATAATATATATTAGATTTACTAATACATACAATTTATATTTTAGTATTTAGGCGACCGAGCTTCTTTAAAAAAAATTTTCACAAAAGGTAGCTAAATAGCTTTTAAAAATCAAAACCTTATCTAAATACAAAATTTGATCAAAATCGTTAGAGCCGTTTTCGAGATATACGAAATAACATTATATACATACACCTATATACATAATACAAGTATTGCTCATTTAATATTATAAAATTTTAAATTCTTTTATGTTATATTATTTTTTCTAAAAGACAATTTTTAACTTAGGACTATAATATCATCATAATCACCAAAATAGATAGCTTAGCCCTAAAATGACAATATAAAAACTAAAATCAAAATAACAGTTACTAACAGTACAAAACCAAACACTTACTTATAGTGTTCCGCGGCATTTTCAAACTGTCCGAGAAATATGTGGGAGTTCCCTAGGTTGCTATTTGCACGTCTTTCCGCCGCTCTGTCCCCTACTTCTTGTGCTATTCTCAGTCTTTCTGTATGATATTTGATCGCGCGTGTGAAGTCTCCGAGAAGGTAACACGTGTTACCGAGGTTCCCACACGCTCGACCCATCGCCTGTCGGTCGCCTAGACTTCGCATTAATTCGAGATTCTCTCTGTAATGAAAGAAATGTAATGAGTTTGTTATATTTATTTATTTAATTAAAATATTGTTTTTCCATCTTCTGTGCTCATTTTTTGTGTATGCAATGAAGTATATCTATCTCAGACTAGGGAATAATATAGACAGCAGTGGTGAAGGTTGAAATTTCAGCAGAGGTAATCCGTCCCAAAAAAAACATTGATATAAAAATTTTATATACGTATTAATGCAAAAAGAAATAAAGCTATTATATATTTATATATATATATATATATATATATATATATATATATATATATATATATATACACATAGGGAACCAAAAATCAAAGTAAATCCGCAAAAAAACCCAAAAAGTTAGTTTTATTAAAAATGTCAAATCTTTTAAGAAAGTAATATGTAAACTTTTATTCAAACATATAGTTAATTATATCAAAATCTATACGGATAAATAAAATTGAAGTGTCTGTTTCTATTGTCAAAATAAAAAAAAAAGTACGTTTAAAAAACCGACTTGAAAAACTAAAAAGTACAAAATAACTTAATAAAGATTTAATTTAATACACCTCTTATGCAAACCATTTTAAGCTAAATAGCTTTTAAAAATTATTTCTTTAATATTAATAAAATACTATTATTTGTATGCGCTACCTATTGCTAGATTTTAAGTCGGTGCCTTTAGTATAGATTTCTCAGATCGCGGCGAGTTTAGGTACCTACTATTACATTTGGCTTGGCACCGACTAAAGAAGACTAAAGAAGAATCACGTAAATCTCAGCGTAATCGGTGTACATACATAAAAAAATACCAATCGAATTGAGAACCTCCTCCTTTTTTAATTACCAATTTTTACTAAATGAATATGAATTATGAAAGTATATACGGTACATATAAGAAAAACACAATTTTGGAAATTTTTGTCTGTCTGTCTGTTTGTTCCGGCTAATCTCCAAAACAGCTGAACCGATTTTGACGGGACTTTCGATGGCAAATAGTTCGTTATAAAGAGTAACTTAGGCTACTTTTATTTTAGAAAAAGAATTAGGATTTCGGACAAAAAACGGACAAATTGAGCCGCTAGTAGTTTAATAATCATAAAATGCTACGTATTGTAGCTACAAAAAGAGTGTCATCATTAGAATATAACAACACTATACTCACTCATAATAAGCAACTGCTTGCATAAGGCACTCACGGACCTCTTGGGGGAAGTGGCCAGGGTCATTCTGACCTACCCTCCCCAACTGTTTCCCTTGAGCGTGATACACATTGCCCAGGTTATATAAAGCTCGGCCTTCACTCAAACGATCCCCTAACGAACGCGATATTTCTAAGTGTCTCTTGCAACACTGCACCGCCTCGTTGAATTTCCCCATAACTTTCAAAGTGTTACCTAAATTGCCTGAAGCCTTTGCCTCGCCGAGTTTGTCGTTCATTGTTCTGGAAATAGAATGTTCTGAAATTGAATACTTATAAAATAACAATTGTATGAGAAAGTATAAACCACGACTTGCGCAATTGAATTAGTAACAAAGCGAAATCTGTACATGAAATATTTTTTAAAAAGAATGACTGTTACATATTTTGTACAGAGGATATAGACCTCAAAACAACAGTTATTAATCGAGTCGTCCTTATAAATTTACATGGCTAACGCTGGCTAGACCTTGAGAGATACATCAAAACAATATACCTACTGGAAAATTGAAGGTTTTAAAAAGCCTATGGAAAAGTCCACAATAGCATATATCTATCTCCTAAGGTACACTCGCAATTCGAATCGAAATCTCGAATCGAATTAATAGCTAGTCATTTGTAAAGTTTGCTAATATTGACCTAGAAACAATTAATTAAAAAAGTGAAATGTGTTTTGTGCGTTTACGTGTCTTTATGAATAAAAGTCCGGTGTGTGTGTGTGTTCGTAATTCTTCTCCTCTTAAATACCTTGACTGATTTTGATAAAAAGAATTGTACACATATGGAGTCACCGGATTGGTTCTTAGCTATAGCTAGACATGGGCACGTAAAAAACCAGACAACCCTAACTCCTGAACTGGAAAACCGTGTTACAGTAGCATAGTTGTTGATGTTGTCGAAATCCAGTTTTTTTTTCATTTTCGTATTAAACGAGATCTGTGGCAGGTTAACGTCCGCCTACCAGGTCCGCTAGTAATTTAATTAATAAGAAAGGCTTACCTTGCTAAAGTTAAGTCGTGTTTGTGATACTGCATTGCTTTGTTATAGTCGCCAAGATAGAAGTACGCGTTGCCAAGTTGGCTATATATGGCGCTTAGGGTCCGGAGATCATCTGTACCAGCTTGTATGGCAGCCTGGAAGAACGCCACACCAGCTCTACAGTCACCTGCTTTACACAGGCGTTCACCTTCCAAGGCCAGTTCAAGGCACATAGAACCCCCATCACAGCTCTGAAATTATTACACATAACATGAAAGTAAATTTATATTTAAAGTAATGAATTTTTGCTTTCGTTTTAATATCAGATGTATAGTTTGATAAGTAAGTAGTAATTTTATGGTCAATTGGAAACGGTTATGGTACGTATAAATACCAATAGCATTTAAAAATATGTCGTGGTCGTCTCAGCCTAAACACGTCTACTGCTGGAAATACGCCTCCCCCAAAGATTTTCACGACAAACGGTCTTTTGCCATCCTCATCCAGTGGGCTCCAGCGAATTTGACCAAGTCGTCGATCCATCTTTTGGGAGACCTGCCCGCGCTTGCCCTTCCGGTGGCCGCCACTGGAGAATTTATCGTCCCCAACAAGTAAAATACTTTTATACCCCTAAGTGATAAGGGTTGGCCACCCCAAAAATTTTTTTTATTTTTTGGACAAATTTTTTTATTTAATTTATTTATATATAGAAGAAAAAAATTGAAAACCTGAAGTTTTATGATTTTAAAATTTAGCAGATATATAACGAATAGAAATTCGTAAAATGCCCTCGATGCCCAGCTACCCCTAGAAATGGGGGGACGCTAAGCGCTGACAAATATTTTTTTCCAATTTACGGCTTACTGTGACATTCTCTCGAAAAATGTTTTCTACAAAAGTTGTAGGTCTAGTAAAAATCTACAACTTTTATAAATAGCCTTTGTAACAATAACCTCAAAGTTTTCGAGATATTTGCAAAAAACTCGTTTATTTTTTAATTTTTCTTGGTTTTTTATTTTTAATTTCTAGAATAATCTTTTGATTTTCATGTAACTAAGGGACTGTAATCTTTCAAATACATATAATAAATATAAAAAATTGAAACTGAAATATTTAGCCATTTGCGAGTAAAGTATGTTTTATGGTCTCGAGAGGCTGAAAATCACACTCAATTTCAAGTGGGCGTTTACATTTAAAAATGTTTGTGTTCAATTTTCTGATAGCGCTCATTCTTTTGTCTTGAACTCTACTTTTTGAAGAAATAAAAACATTAAATGGTCGTCCTGTAAAAAAAACCTTAAAAGTTTTAAGAATTGGAGAAATTGATAATTTTTACTTTATAAACTACATATTTTTCAATTATCATTGAAGAAGTACTTATACTTTATTGACCAAATTTTTACAAACTGATTACACCAATGTATTTTTCGGGAAAAAAAAAGTATATCCCTCATTTTTATTACAACACTTATTATTTATACAATGTCGCCGAAAACATTCCAACTTTGCAATTTGAAGAGTAGTAAAAAAATAATAAAAATTGGAATTCACCTAAAGTATAGCACCACTTTTGTATTTTTACCGTAGAATCTATTTATTTTATTATTTTTTCGAATTATTATTTTTTGATCGATTTTGGAGTTCAATTTATTGATTTTATCTGACAAATTTGATTTTAAGGTAATTACAAAAAGAAATGAAATTCATTCCTAGTCTAATCTTGTTTATTCAATAGTTACAAATATAATTGAAAAAAAAATTTGTTGATATTTACAAAATTTAGTCATAGTTTTGTTAAAAAATCATAAATATTGTAAAAAATGATTATGAATTTAAAATTTCTTTAGAAAACTATGATAGACGCTTGTAGAAAATGTATTTACATTTTTAAAATTACCCTTTAATCTACTGTGCATCTATTAAATGCTAAGATATTCATGATTAAAAAAAAAGGATTCTTTTTCGTTGAAAGTCGAATATCTCAGAAAAAAATCGACGTAAACTTAAAAAGCAAAACCTTATCTAAATACAAAATTTTATCCAAATCATTAGAACAGTTTCCGAGATACACGAAATTTTATACGTAAATACATTATGGGCAAGAATTTCTTATTTAATATTAAAATGATAGAACGTGTGTAAAGAAAGAATGTATGGTTCAACTCTCCTTTGTCCGCGGTTTTGAAAAAAGTCGGCAATAGTCACAGCCATCCAAAAAGATTTAGTACAAAGACTTCTATGAAATAATTGCTAACTGCGTATGTGATCACAAATAACTAAACAAAGTGAGTCACTTACAGCGACTTCTTTATAAATTACTTTGCATTAAGCCAAAGTATGACTCGTAACTCTGACGATATTCAATACTCTAATATGTACAAGAGGGTCAAGTATTAGTACTAAAGCAATTAAATACATAAAAAATTAGAAGAACATTTTTCCCGGTTCGATGAAAGCAAAAATACTATACCTACTAATACTCAAGTGTCGTCGTTATGCACCTGATTATTGTTACTTATGGTAAAATTCACACTATGGCAAATAACAGAAAAAAGTAGGTACAATAAAAGATATTGCAATGATGCTCATACAGGTATTGTATAAGCACTTGCACTTATTGTGTAAGACTAATAAAGAGTCGATAATGTTCAAGTATTTATAATTAATACATTATGGTTACATACTGTTATTTTACATAACACTTGTATGAAATAGCAAATGGCATACGATTCCTGCATGAGTTGTTATATTACTTTCAAGTATATATTTACTTAGATCTTTTTCTATTAAAATTTTGATTCATTTTTACATCTACATTATTCACAAACATTATATATGTTAAAACATGCACTAAGAAAGATTTTTTTGAGAGCTTGAGCAGAGGTGATTGTGGATTGCATTAATTCCATCGGGCACACACCTAATATAACATTAATTTTGCGCGATTCTTTCTCGCAGATTATGGGTTGTAAACGTGGGCGCAACTCTTTTACCTGCAATAACAATGGGCCGAGAGGATAAGAAAACGAAATACTAAAAGAAAACTTTTTTAGGCGATGTAGGATTTGTAACGAGCACGAAGGTCGACATTTTGAAAGCTTTTTGTAGTTAAGGAATAAATAATAACTAATAAAAATTAGGTACTTTTTGTTTCATTTATGAAACTTGAATTAATCTAAAAAAAAAAAAAAACTTTAATTAAAATTAATGAAAGTTAAATTAAACATTAAAAAACTCCAAATGTTTAAATCTTAGCTTTCCTGCAGTAATTTTTGGTTAGTTAAATAACAAATGAATTAACCTTAGGAATGATAATATGAGCAAAAAATTTTTTTGTAATCACATGGTTATTTTTTAGTATTTTCCACTTCACTATCTTTGAAGGCCGATTTTAGCCTAAGCAGCCTATTAAGTACTACTTTTTTTAATTATTATACAAGTTAAGAGTATGGAAAACTTTTGAGATGTACTTAGGAACCATGAAGTCACCTGTTTAAATTTTTAATTTAAATTTGAAAATTTAAGTCATAATTCACCAAACGTAATTTTGTCACTTTACACCAACATTTTCATAATTTCCATCAAAACATTACAGCAGTTTCATTTTTGCAAAAATAATTTCTCGAAATAGTCTTCTACATTTTTTTAGAAGTTATTTAAGATGTACAGTTTGAAAATTCTCAAAAACTCATAACACAAAAACTATGAACAATCGCGAAACATACATGGGGGATTCGGGTACCCCAAGGGTGCTCTATCTCTAGACTTCTACTTGAAACTACTACTTTGGGACACCTGTATAGTATAATAATTATAATGGTTATATTGGTCATTAAATTTAGGCAATATGGTTTTCAAGGGGACTGTGTTTATTGAAAATAGTTTGTACAAAACATAGCTAAATAGCTAAATTTTGATGTCAATCAAAATAAAAAGTTTAAATTCCCTGATCTGCATTCTTCTATAAATCGCTGGAGTCATATTATTTAGTACATAGAGACTATAGAAATGCATTAGAGGATATTAGCTAGAGTAGTTATTATGTATGAAATTTTATAATTTATTATTATATGTTAATACTAGTGGCGCACCGTCTTTGCTCGGGTTCACCTCTAGAAAAATTAAAACATATCAATCCCATGGGAACCATACTTTTTTCTGGAATAAAAAGTAGCCTATGTGTTATTCTGATGTATGAGCTACATTTTATCTATTTTTAATTATAATTGTAAAGTTTCATTAAAATCCATTCACAAACTTTAGCATTTATAATATTAGTAGGATTATTCACTTATGTGAATCTTTATTTATTTAATATCCGTATTAAGTCATATTAATAGAGTATCGGAGTAGGAATTAAATCTATGATTTTTATTCAATTATCATATTAAAATATAAATATATTTTGTAATTTGTAAATTAAAGCATGTATATATTTATATATTAATACAATTTTTTTGTGCTGTAGAACAAAAAATTACAAATAGAAGCAGTGTCAATTTCAATAAAACATCGACCTGAAAATAATACCGAATTGAACAGCTTGTTACTCTTTTTGAATTAAGATCAATGAACATTGTTTATTCTATCATTTAGAATTAATCATTTGGACTATATAAAATTCATAAAATTTAATATATACAAGGAGTTATTTGAAGTTTTGTAGTTCAAAACAAACTTTGTACAATTCAATTATTAATGCCAACTTCTGATTTTTAAGATTATTAAGATTATTTATTTTATTTAAGTTATTAAGATGTGACTGCCTTCTAAATAAAACTTAGAATAGCTATTCTCTATTTACTAATAGAGTATACAAAGTTTGTCAATATACTAAAATATAGCTAAACTATTCAAAGTAAGATAAAACATACAAACATATAACAAATAGTTTATATTAATGCAATGGAAATGAAAGTAAGAAAACTGAATGCATTGTAAGCCATAAGTTGCAACTTATATAATGTACGGAATGCTAGTTATAATTATTCTTCAATGTGACATATTCATTCCGAGGTTAAAAGTGTTTTTATTATTAATTATTTTGCAGCATAAAAGATGAAAATTTAAATTATTCTAAGCTAATTTATCAGTACATCTAGTAATTGGAGTAGTAAGTTAGTAAAATTTACTAAGTTTAGGCTCTCTTTTGAAAAAATTGCAATAAGTTTATAGCAAAACAATGTATGGAACATAATTCATAACTTATATTAAATTAACCCATCAATCTTTAAGTACATTTAATTTATCAATTTGCCAATTTATTACTCATCATAAATAGGTTAGATAAGGTGTAACTGGGTAGCAAATTAAATTCAAAACTTTACTTCAACGTATTTATAACTTTGTTTACTAAGTTTACTAGAAACCAAATGGCATGGATAATTTTTTTTTTAATTCAGTTAGCCCAATTTATAATAATACTATACTGATAAAAGGTCATTAATAAATTCTAGTACTCGCCTAAAGGCGAATAAAATGCACAGGCAAGTATCGCCTTCCGTATTAGGGTTCCTATGAATGACTCATAATTACGTCCTGTACTATAAATGAGGCCAAATATTTATTTAAAAGGTCAAGAGAAGTAAGTCGTTACATATTACTCCAACTTTTAAACATGTTTAAAACACACAACATGCATTATTTGTGAATAATGCAAAAGTACACACCTGGGCATCACTTGAAAGATTTTCAGCACTCGCGCTCACCGACATTTTACGATAATTAACTGATTTATAAATAAAATACAACGAAAACAAAAAAATAAAATCATAAAAGATTTGTCAGATTCTCATAATTATAGTTTATTTATATTTTATTTCGCTATGGGCGTATACGACTGTCTCGTTTATCACAAAGTTTGTCGTAACTCTTTAATCTTAGTTCTTACACAGTACACACTACACTGTACTGTACACACTACACAGTCCACACCCACAGACAATACAACAATACAGATATGTTAGTTTTTTATTTTGTGATTCGGAACAGAATTGTGCTGCCATAAAACTCCAGTTATCCAGGGTAGAACTAAGGAGAACTATCTCTCGTATAAAAAGTGACCCATAACAAGCATCAAATTGGTGGCGCCACAGAAAACAAGTAGATGAATTTCGAACATAGCGCCAAAAGCTATACTCGTAAGAGCAAGATGGTGAATTACTCAAGGAAAAAAAGATTTCCGCGTTTGTTGTGACGCAATTTTTAAATAGTTTTAGCGTAGGCAAACACCGATTAATAATAATTTAGCACACTTCACTTCGTTTAAAATTGCTAACTTAACATCACATCTACTTGCTACTCTAGCGTTATAACTTGCATCGCTGACGACTGAGTTTCTGACTTACAAACTTGTTGCTCACCACAGGACACTCTTTCAACTTGTTTCCCATATAAGTTGGTTCTCCTTATTTCTACCCTCCACATATAAGATCTTTAATTTTTTAAAAGTCTGTTAATAATTCATATTTTTATTTTGTGCAAGTAATTGATAAATATTGTTAATCGCATTTATTGTTTTAATAAATTTTGTCATTCACGTCCGCTTGTTATTATTTTATGAATAATATTACATAATATACATTTTTTTTATTTTTCAATATATTACATGATAAGTTTACTTAATAATTTATAATAGTATAAATAAAATTTCATGAGAACAATTCTACTGACATCTTTGGGAATTTATAGAACTACTTTGTAAATATTCTTCTTCTAATGCAATCATTTGAGCAACTAGGTGGCGCTTTAAACAGCTTGCAATGCAAAACTAAACGAATCTTAGATGTCAGCACAAGTCTTTAGTGTAGAAAATAACAATTTAAATAATATTATAATATAGATACTATCAGAACCCTCGAGCTAATACTGCAAAAAATCTCTAAAAAGGTAATTTTATACAAACTTTCATCCCCTATTTAACCCCCTTATAAGATGAATTTCCGAAAATGCTAAAATACGTATTTATTTAATTTTATTGAAGAACACTAACTAATACCAAGTTTCAAGTAATCCCGACTATATTTTATTTTTGGATTGTATTATAACGTGTTTTCCCGTGGGGATTAGATAGTATCCCGCAGTTAAAAAGTAGCCTATGTCACTCTCCAACCCTCCAACTATCTCCACACAAAAAAAAACACGCCAATCTGTCACTCCGTTTCGACGTGAAAGAAGGACAAACAAACAAACAAACAAAAAAACAAACACACTTTCTCATTTATAATATTATTATGGATTACCAGTAAACATAAAATTAGGATTAAAAAAACATGATATTGTTGGAATTAAATTACTAGATCGGGTCAATTTCGATTAATTCTGGAACTCGAAGCTGTCGGGAGTAAGCCAGCTGTTCGATTCAGTGGGGAGTAAGACTTTTCGGTCGTAACGGCCGTTCTCGATCGTAGTTAGTTCCAATTTGAACCACTGCTCGATCGTGCGCTGATGTCAATTTCAAGGGTACGAATCCTAACAAAATCGAGTCAATTTCGATTGATTCAGGAACTCGAAGCTGTCGGGAGTAAGCCAGCTGATTTTCTCAAGTATTTATTAGGAAAAATGGTGTCAGAAAACAAATTTGCCTCCTTGGTGATTTTGACCTATATGTATATGTACATAATTTTATATTTATACTGTCGTATAAATTATCATAATTATATACCTACGTGTTCAGTTTCAGATTCGACTTCATAATAATTCACTACAGTAGATTTAAACCAAAACAGATATAATACGAGATAGGTAAAACGTCTGGTTTACCCCCAGGCTAGGGGTTGCGGGGTAGCTCGTTAGCTATGCAAATATCGCGCTCATCCGATCACCTCGTCCCTTCAATGATTATTCAATGGATATACTAGTCGATTTTAATTTTGCATTTTACGTCATTTTACAATGGATAAATTAAAAATTTTAAAAACCGCCCGACCATCTTAGACCGATTTTGATCAAACATACCTAGCTAAGAACACTCCCGACCAATTCACCTTGCAAACAAAAACAAACAAAATCAAAATTAGTTTATCCGTGCGGGACACAGGCATGTCAAACTTTAAACACCCCAGGTTGCCAGCCCTGTTAGTTGGTCTAGTTCAGCTATACTCAACCTGCGGCGCGCGGGCCGCATGCAGCAGCATCAAAAATCGCATTATAACATATCTTTGTTAAAAAAGTAACTACATCGTTAACTTGAAATTACGTTTTCATTAAGACCTAAATAATTTTTTCTTGCAGCCCTCGACACCATGACTGATACGTGTTTGTGGCCCCTACAAAAAAAAGGTTGAGTATAGCTGGTCTAGTTCATTAGGAAATAGACACAACAGAAACCGACGAGCGCTTTGCTAAACTAAATACCTATTATTGATTTTATAGCAATTTATTTATTTTATTTACTGTAAGTAGTTTAAGTCAGTTTGATGCCAATTTTTATGTAAAATCTGGCTCTAAAATCCAATTCTTTTGTATTGGGCTTGTCAAATCAAACAAAATAAGCCTAAAATCAAAGTATATTCTACTAGCGACTATCTTGATTGCCTATACAAACTTTTATCCCCATTTTCACCCCCTTAAGGGATGATTTCCGGGCTAAAAAGTCTTACCAAATTTTATCAAAACCGCTTCTGTAGATCCAGAAATTAGCCCCTACAACATCACAAACTCACAAGCTCACAAAATCATAAACTCACAAACTTTACCTCTTTATAATACCTATTAGTATAGATTAGGTGTTGAAGAGTTCCATCTATCCACATTCTGGTTTCACCATCAGACCAGGTTGATGATACCAAACCACTGTACTATTAACGGAAATAGAAACACTTGCAAAGTTTCACAGTCAATATGACAATTAGAAGTAAGTAAATTTTTCCACTGTTATGGATGGTATTTTTTTCAAATTTAAATGGGACCAAATTGGAAGTACCTATACAATTTCAAACAAAACAACCTCCTCCTTTTTGGGAAAAAACTGTATTGTAATTTAAAGGTTTTTTCACTATAAAGTAATTTATAGATTATGTTCTTAAAGGAAAAATCATATTATAAATGTGCGTAAGTACAAAGTAAGAAGAAATTATAGTAGGTTTGGGATAATCTATACATATAATAAAATTGTAACTAAGCCGAATCTGTACATTAAATATTTTTTGGAAAATATTATCTATACATATAATAAAATTGTAACTAAGCCGAATGTTAGATATTTTTTTGGAAATTTTATTGAAATAGACATTATTATCGAAACAGAGACCGAATCTATAGTTTTTAGAATTTTTGTCTGTCTATCTGTCTGTTACCGCATTACGGAAAAACCACTGGAGCGATTTTGATGAAATTTGATATGATGGCAGCTGGTTATCAGGGTCAACATATTACTTATAGGATACTTTTTACTGCGGAAAAATATCTCTTCGAACGAACCCGAGCGGAGCTAGGGTGAGTTGCTAGTGATATAATAAAATTCTAACTGAGTCGAATTAAAACATGAATTATTTTTTTTTAAAACATTAAATATTTTTTGGAAAATCTTATTGAAATAATCAAATTATCAATATAAAAGCTGATGCTTATCCGTGTCAACATATAGGATACTTTTTACTGCAGGAAAACACCTAGGTATATCATCTCTGAGAAATCTATACTAATCGTTAAATGTAACTAGGGACGAATCCGAGAGGATCGAGGGTGAGTCGCTAGTGTAAATATATTGCGAAAATCAATAATAGTTTAAAATACTCACAAGCGTCACGGAAGAACAGGAGTTGCTCTATCGAGTTTAAATCGCGTACATTTTTTTATTTAAGTCTCTTGTTTAAATATTTCAGATACTTTTCTAATCGTCGCGACGAAAAGATCTCGGTGAAAATGATCAAAGAGATGGATTGCATTCTTGAGACTGATATATTATATACTTGAGGTTCACCCTCGCTACACTCGGATTCACCTCTATGAAAACAAAAACAAATCTATCCCATGATAACCGTAACTTTTTCCGGGATAATAAGTAGCTTATGTGCTATTCCAGACTATAATCTATTTTTGGGCTGAATTTCATCCAGATCTGTTCCGTCGTTCCGGCGTGATTGAGTAACAAACATCTAAGCTTTCACATCTATACTATAATAAAACTGTAGAGGACAAATGTCTGTACATAGAAAAAAAATGCTAAAAACCGAGCCAGGGGGATGTAAGAAGACAAATAAAATGAATCTAGATTTTTTTCAATTTTTTTGTCTCTCTGTCTGTTTGTCTGTTTGTACGGGCTAATCTCCGAATGTATTGGACCGATTTTAATGAAATTTTGCATGGTGGTCCCCGGGCAACATCTTGGATACTTTTCATCCCTGAAAATTAAAGAGTTCCCGTGGGATAGTTAAACAACTATAATAACTTATACAGCTTAGTACACAACAACTTATGCAAATAATTTAGTAAAATTTGGCATGCTGATATATTGCCGATCTAACAACAAGTTACTTTTCATCCTGGAAAAATGAACGGTTCCCGTGGGATAAATCTGTCTGTGATTTTCTAGAGGCAAACCCGAGCGAAGCGAGGGTGAGCCGCTAGTATATAATATTAGTAAGATTGTATTCGTTTCGAGGGACTAGAATGAGAGATACTTGTTAGCTACGAGTATGTAGTAGTGAAAATTCTATGTAAATTCTATAGATAACTATAAACTAAACTGTTTTGATTTGTTAGATTTTTAAGC